CAGAGGTGGCCGTACGTGTCGTGGGTGGTGGCGGTGGCGCTCGTCATCGTATTCGTCATCGAGCTGGTCAAGGCCAAGTCGGCGACGGGCCAGGCGGTGCAGACGCGGCCGAGCATCAATCCGATGCTCGGACCGTCGGCCGAGTTCCTCATCTCGTTCGGTGCGCGCTTTGTGCCGTGCATGCGCAAGGTGCCTGCGCTGCCGACGTCGGAGCAGCTGCCGTGCCTCAAGGACTCGACGTCGAGCTCCAACCTCTACTCGCCCAGCCAGCTGTGTCCCATCTCGGACATCTGCGGGCTCAAGGACGCGGCGAACCCGAACCAGAGCTACCGCTTTGTGACGGCCATCTTTGTGCACGCCGGATTTGTGCACATCCTGTTCAACCTGCTGGTGCAGCTCACGCTGTGTGCGCAGATCGAGAAGCTCATCGGCTCGCTCGCGTACGCGCTCGTCTACTTTGCCGGCGGCATTGGCGGCAACCTGCTCGGCGGCAACTTTGGCCTCATCGGCCAGCCGGCGCTCGGCGCATCCGGTGCGATCTACACGTGCATCAGCATCGAGCTCGTCGACCTGTGCTACAACTGGCGCTACGAGTACCGCGCCAAGATGCGCCTCGCCATGTCCATAGGATTTGCCATCGTCGGCCTTGCGCTCGGCCTGCTGCCGGGGCTCGACAACTTTGCGCACATCGGCGGCTTCTGCGTGGGCCTGCTCGGCGGGCTGGTGTTTGCACCCTCCATCCATCCCACCAGGCGCCACCGGGTGGTGACGTGGGTGCTGCGCATCGTCGCGCTCGGATTGGCGGTCGGCTTCTTCGCCGGCCTCGCAAGCAACTTTTACAACTCACCCGACCCCACCAAGGCGTGCACGTGGTGCAGGTACCTCAGCTGCCTCCCTGTCTTTAACTCGTGCAAGGGCACCGGCCTCACGACTTCCACAACCACGACTACCAGCGGCAGCAGCTGAACCTCGCTCGCCCAATCTACCTTTTACGCTCGTCTTAATTCGCTCGCGCACCACGGACAATCGCATCAGCCATCAGACGTCAGCGTCGTCTGTGCTCGTGAGCCGATCAACTTGGAGATCGGAAGCGGAGCCGGTGCGGACGAAAGACTCGTGTGCCGTTTGATGCTCGTGAGCGTTGGAGAGCAAGTGTGATTCAGGTTGCTCTTGCATATGCACGCTTTGGCCGCGCTTACTGTGCACAGCATTCGGGACATTTGCGAGCCAGGGCTTTGAGTAGTGATTGATATCTGGGTGCCGTTGGTTGCATCTGGATCATTCGGCTGGTCTGAGTCATGAAGAGAGGAAGCATGACATTGCATTTTGATCGAACGATTAAAGATTTGAACGACACAGGGCTGTGGCGGTGTGTCTAGACTGCGCCTAGGCTTGAGTTGCTGTGTTGCACTTAATCGGCGAGCCAGACTGCAGGATCGGTGTTGCAGGCGTTATGGTCGACCGATCCGTCGTCTCCACCTTCCTGATCACCGGTCCAGTCTGCGTCATTGAGAGTATTCACCAGCAGGCAGGGTGAGGTATCGGGCTTCATGATAAACACACCCGTCTTGTCCGTATGGAACTCCTCCGCCTTGATATCGGGACTGTACACCACCACAAACACTTAAACCCCCGTCAATACCACCAACATCAGTATTCACATCTACCTTTTGAGAGAAAGAAGGGGTGAGGAGGGGGTGGCTTACTGTTTCCCGCGGTGTTGACGAATCCTTTGACCGAGTCGTCGGCAGACTGCATACGCTTGCGAATATCGCCGTTCAGACGGAAACAGGCATACAAGCCAGCAGGAATGTTGCCCTCGTGGTTGCAGTAGGCAGCAACCATGCTGTCGTCCGTCTTGAGCCCCACACTCGGATCAGCAGGGCGCTCAATACGTACACTGGCGACTTGGCCAGCCACGGCAGCAAGGATAAAGATGGCAAGGCGAGCAAACTGCATTCTTTAAGTATAGAGGCGGGACAGATGGAGCAGAGCGGGCGGAGAGGTGAATTGGGAGGAGGCTTATATCTTGGACCATTGCAAGCAACGAGCACTGGCATTGAGCAGGCATGCACACGTCTGTGCAGTCCCACCCGAGACGTGGTGGCAACAAGCCCTGCGTTGATGCCCACCCTCGTCCCCACCTTGTTTGCCCCACGCAGCCGTTGCAACGCCGAGAAGCAAGGTGGCACGCTGCGCCCACAATTGAGATGAAAAGGAAAGGTTCCGCCAAGTGCAAAAAGGGGCGGAGAGGTATAAAGAGTCCATGGCTCGTGATCTGGGCCTGGAGCCCCACTCATGCGAGGGACCAAGCGCCGAGAGCGGCCGAGAGCGAGACAGCCACCAGCGCACCCACCACGCCCGGTGCCACCGTGGCTGCAGCCGAGTTACCCTGCGAGGGCCTGGATGTTGCGGTACCCGACGAGGCCGGTGAGCCCGTGCCGGTGCCGGTTCCGTTGGCTGTTGCCGAGACATCGGGCTGTGGTGTAAACACGCCGACGGGGCTCTGCGAGAGACAGCTGGAGAAGGCTGCATCGATGGCGGCGGACGAGGCGTCGGGTGGCGTTTTGCTCGACGCATTGCCGGCAAAGTCGCACGACTGGGCGTTGAAGCCAGTGATCTCGTAGAACTGCGACATGGCCCACTCGAGCCTCTGCGCCGAGGTGCACGACGAGTAATTGCCGTAGGTGCCCGCCTCACCGTCCGCCAGGATGGGGTCGCACGAGCCGCCCCGTTCCGAGAGGTACGTGCATGCCTGGCCGGTGAGTGTGCCGATGATGTTGGGCGAGTCGCGCGACGCCGGGTTGAGCACACAGCTCAAGGCATTAGACTCGACGCAGTTGCACAGCTGCGGGTTGGGCGTGGGCGGCAGCCGAGTGGATGCGGGGAAGTTGTTGGTGCCACCCATGCACTGCGGGAAGTCGGGCGACGCCGAGGCGTTGGCGGGAGCCGCGGGCGAGCTGGCGTTGGCAAACTGCCTCTTGAGATCGTTCCAATCGGAACGCCGGGTGACCGTGTCGCCCGAGACGCTCACCAGACCGTAGTCCAGGCCGGAGGGCTGCGGAAAGTAGGAGAAGGCGACGCCGCCGCTGAACTGGTTGGTCATGGGCGTCGAGTAGAGCGCCGAGACTTCGGTCCAAGGGCGGTTGTTGGTGCCGACGCCCTCGACGCAGCCGAACTCGGCGAGGTAGGCAGGGACGGGGAGCGAGTCAAAGTCGTTTGTGAGCGTGTTGTAGCCCGAGGCGGCGTAGGAGGAGTTGCCGCACCACGAGTACGAGTTGAGGCCGTAGAGGTCTACGCTAGTGGCGGCGCTGCCGCAGGTGAGGTAGTAGGCGAGCATGTCCCTCCACTGCGTCCTGCCCGAGGGCCCGTCGGTGGAGGAGTAGGAGACGAGGACGTTGGAGTTTTTGGAGCGCAGGTACGCCTTGACGTCGCGCACGGCGGCCTTGATGAAGGGCGCGGCGACCGAGTTGGAAGCCTGAGTGACGACCTCGTTGGCTATGTTGAAGGCGAGCACGTTGTCGTAGCCGGTAAAGACGTCGATGGTCTTTGCGTAGAGGTCGAGGAGGCCGACGTCCCAGCTGGGCTGTGCGCGGTTGATGGAGCCGTTGAGGGGCAGGGCGAGGTCGAGGATGACGTAGATGCCGGCGTTGCTAAAGGTGGACATGCATGCGTCGTGGTTGAGGCTCGAGTTGACCGAGTAGACGCGGATGGTGTTGATGCCGAGGTCGCGGAAGTTGGCCACGTCGCGCGAGCAAGCGTCCGGCAGCGCGAGAGGGTCGGTGAAGCTGTCTGGCTCGGGGAAGCCGCCGTTGTCCTCGTTGGCCTGCGTGGAGGCTGCGATGGGCGCGGGCTCTTGGTAGGCGACGCCCTTGATATAGAAACGGTTGTTGCCCTCGTACAGATACTTGCCTCGGCGCGTCACGGCCGGGATGGCGCTAGACGGCTGTGCAAGAAGCGCCACCAGCGCCAGCAGAGAGAGCAGCAGACCGAGCGGTCGAAGTGGTGTGAGCATGGAGCCGCGCATCGTGGCAGTATTGGCTCGTCTTGGGCGTCGTCGGAGGTTCCTATTGATCGCAGTAGCCAGCTATGCTCGGTGTTGCTGATGAGGACCAGGTGGTGGAGGTGTCGCAAAAGGCAGCGAGTCT